TACATCTCTCATTTCAAGGTACATTTATTTTAGTTAGGTAGGGTAAGGATTCTGTGAGAGAAACAAAAATGAATAAGCTGGCGTGTGGGAACAGGAATTAAAATAAGCACCGACTTGCCGCCTGCCAACGTGGATGTCCTCACATCCCACTGCCTTATTTTTGGTTCCATTCTGGTTTGTTTTCTTCCTTGCTACTTTAAAATATGATAGGTAGGTGAGAAAGACAAGCCCAGGATGGTCCTGAAGTGCGTCCTACGGGTAGGGTTCCTTCACTGACTCTGCCTCCCTGCATCCCCTCAGCAGCCCTACGGGGAATTACTCTTATTACCTCCCCTTCACTGGACGGGTGGAAAATGGAGTTTAAGACCAGCAAAACAACCAGGCTCAGAGAGACCCACTGGCCAAGCCCAGATGTGAATCAAGACAGTAACCCAAAGCTTGGCTTGACCCATTCTGCTCTACTGACCGCATGTGTGGAAGCCCCGAGTCTCTCCCTCTCTCTCAGAGCAGATCTGATCCCCAAGGTGGTTAGGTGCCCTGGGACTCAGGAGACACACACAAGCTCTCTGTGTTTCCTGGGTCCTGGAGGCAACTCTAGAAAATGGAGCTGGGCAGGGTGCCTGGGTGGCTCAGTGGGTTAAGCCTCTGCCTTCGGCTCAGGTCATGATCTCAGGATCTGAGATCGAGCCCCACATCAGGATCTCTGCTCAGCAGGGAGCTTGCTTCTCCCTCGCTCTCTGCCTCTCTGCCTACTTGTGATCTCTCTCCGTGTCAAGTAAATAAATAAAATCTTAAAAAAAAAAAAAGAAAGAAAGGAAGGAAGGAAGGAAGAAAGAAAGAAACAAACAAACAAACAAACAAACAAACTGGAGGTGGGCAAGAAGTGGGAAGGAGAGGAGGCATGAGGATGTGTGTTCTTAAGATCTCTTCCCCTCCCTGCCTGCCTGAAGTGAAGCTCTCTGACTAAGGAGAGATGGAGAGGTGCCAGCAGAAATGAGCAAAACCTGCTCAGTCACCCAACCCGGGTGTTCCTCAAAACCCCCAATCTTTTAAGGGTGAGGACAGAGGCAGAAGAGCAGCATGAATATGGACAAAAATTCGGACCAAATCTCGGGCAAACTACCACCTCCCGCCACTCCTAGGCTATGCGACCTAGGACAGGAACGGACGCCTCTGAGCCTGTTTCCTTACTGGCACAATGGGGGGAGAAAATTCCCATCTCACAGATTTGCTCTGAGAATTAAGGGAGTTCATGTGTGTGAGGGGCTCATCAGAGCGCCCAGCACATAGAAGAACTGGAATTAGCCATTATTGGTACTACGCCGCCAGATGCACTAAGATAACACATGTAATAAAGAACATGAATACGATGCTATATAATATGCAACAATATATGATGATAAGAAATCAAGTGTGGTGGGTGATATGCCCTGGGGAAGATAAGGGTGGGGGTCACGGCACTCATCCGGTTTTGTACCCACATGGTTCCAGCCACGCAGGGCTCAGCAGGTGTGTGGGGAGAAGAGAACAGACAGCGGCTTCTTCATCTTACCCCAAACCTCTGCCAGTAAAGGCAGCACCTTTTCATCTTCCAGAAGGAGGGGAGCACTTCCTGAAATGCCCCCACTTAATGGGATTATTCCTTCTGCTTTATACGCCATGCCTCGTGGGAATGTTCATTTTATCTCTGGCAGCTCATCAGCACAATAATTGTTTCATGATGTAATAACCCATGTATTAAATCAGACACGGGAGCCTCCTGGGTAGATTTTTATACTGAATTCTATTTCATGACAGGCTGCCCAGTTGTGGATCTTACCCAAGGGGTTCAGTTACTAAAGAACCACAATTATTTCACTGAAGGTGCTTACTCCTATAAGAGGAGAAAGGTTATTTCCTGTTGTTGTTGTTGTTGTTGTTGTTGTTATTTCATAGTCCAGAAGTTTGTGGGTCTGTTGTCAGTTTCAACACACTTATGCTTCCTAGTGGACTATATAATTTGCTTATTTATTAGGTTCATTTTTTCCCTGTTCTTCCCCCACTGCAATGTCACAGAGTAGGATGTTGCCTATTGTACTCACTGCTGTTTCTTTTTTTTAGTGGGGGCCAGGGGGAGAGAGGCTCTTAAGCAGGCTCTACCCCCAATGTGGAGCCCAATGCAGGGCTTGATCCTACGATCCTGAGATCGTGACCTGAACCAAAATCAAGAGTTGGATCTCAACCGACTGAGCCACCCAGGCGCCCCATTATTCACTGTTGTTTCTTAATCATCTGGAAAAGTGCCTGTCGCATAGTAAGTGCTTAATAAATACTGTTCAATTAATCAACAAATTGAAGCACATTTCGGAGCATATTTTTTGAAGAGCAACCACGGCGGATACAAGAGTGTATCTCATTTTTCCCCCTTTTCCTTTTCACTCTGGTGGGTTTTCACTAGACAAGAACGCAACTCCAAAAATCAGGATTAAATCATATTCACAAAAAGTTGTGAATTTTTAACATCCAAGTTCTCTTCACACAAAGACGTTTTTAGTCTCCCAAGGAGACTCAGCTCCACACCCTTATCCGGGGCGAGAGCTGCTGGCTGCACAGGAGGGGTATCTCCACCCAGACCTGAAGGGGCCTCTTTAATATTTAGGGCCACAAGGGACCAAGAGAGAATGGAGCTTGATGTAAAATTCAGATTCACATAGTGTGAGGACTGGAAGGTACTTTAAGTCCAAACTTCCCATTTTTCAGAAGGGAAAACTGAGGGTCCAGAAGAGCAAACTGGTTGTTGCAAGGCACCCAGTACTCAGAACACAGGCAGGAAGAAAAGGCAGATTCCCTTCCTTCCTTCCTTCTTCCTTTCTTCCCTCCCTCCCTCTCTCTTACTCTCTTCTTCCCTCTTCCCCTGTCCTTTTTCTTGTCTGTCTGTCATTTTTCAGGGTGTGGGCACGCACGTGGGTGCACATGCTTATGTGTCTACTCTTTGCAACAGGAGGGTCTAGGACGAGCCTGTTTAGCAGCCCATACATACTTTTGACTCAGAAATGTGGATGATTTGATTTCACTCACTTCCCAGTCCTTCCCCACAACCTAGATCCCAAACTTCCCACGAACAATGCAAGAGTCTTAGAGGCATTCTGAGCTGAAAGTACCTAAGAAATCAAATCATCTAAACCCACTATTTTACAGCCAAAAACAACAGGCTGAACGAAGGAAAGTGAGCTCCCCAGGTCACAAAGCCAGTTAAGAGCCAAGCTACGGTAGCTGGGACCCTCAGCACCAGGACACATTCAGCTCACTGTCAGGACGCTTCTCTGATTTGTGAGTGGCTCTGATGGTCCCATCATGACGGCTGGAAACCCAGCCTAAGCAAGCACGCCTCAAATCAAGGAGGCAAACTTTTCCACTGAGCGAGTGAATAGAATTCTAATGAGAAAACTAGTAGAAAATAGAATCCTTATGGGATACCCACACAGATACACACCGATATGTGCATACGTGATTACTGCATACATCATACAGAAAGGGTGCTTCTTTTTTTAAATACTTGACACCAGGCATGTAATAAATTCACAGAGCTAGCAAGGACATCAAAAACATATTGCTAGTGGAAGCAGATCTTGGCACAACATTTTTGAAAAATGAGCCATCAATATCTGTACAAACTAAAATGTATGCATTCTTTGATCCAGTAATTCCTCTTCCAGGAACCGGGAACCATCTAGAGAAACAGAACTATCACAGATATGTGCATGAGGATGTTTATGAAAGTACTGCTTATAGCACAAAAAAGAAAAAAAAATCAGGTGGTCCATCCTTAGGGTTATGATGTCATGAACCGTGATACACCAATTTGTAGAATTTTGTGTGACTCTAATAAAATGAATTATTAGAGAGCTGAAGGGACACCCATCATTTATTAGTTTGTGAGAAAACCAAACTGCAGGGTAACGGGATGGACATGCTTATTTGGACGAAGACCACCACCTCTCTCCAACACATCTATGTGCATCCGTGTCTGGGACAAAGGGACAGGAAGGAAAGATGGAAGTCTGTTAACACTAAGCATCCCAGGGAGAAGGCAGGGGTGGGTGCAGGGGGAAGATATGATTGCTACTTTCTTCATACATCTTTAAATGTTTATGCTGACTACAATAATATATATTACTTTGAAAAAAAATTCACACAAAAAATTTCTAAAGACAAAGATGGAAGGAACCCAGAAACAGACCACTGGATCTCATTTCAGCCTCCCTTTTCCCCCTATAGACCCACAGTAGCAGGAACACTATGAGAGAATAATTCAGGGCAACCAAGAGAAGCTCGAAGCTGAACTCTCTCTGCCTCTAGCTGCCATGACCATCGTTTGAGCTAGTTCCTTCTCCCATCCAAGTGTCCTGATCCTGAGGCAGGGAGTGACCTGCCAGGAACCAACAGGAAGTAACCTGCCAAGTAGATACAGCAAATGAGATGTGAACAGAGCACCAGCAAAACTCATCTTTTACCACAGGAAAGGGGCTCCATCTCCTTCAAGGAGAGGGTGGCTCAGGATGCTTGACGCTACCCTGCCCCACAGAGGAACTCACAGCCATAAATAAACCAGGCAGGACCCACTCTACATAAAACTAAGAAGCAGAGAGAAGCTAAGTTTGGCAGGCAGGCCTTCTAGGCACCTAAAGCAGCTTCTGGAAAGGTGGCCTCGTCTCCATGGGCTTCTGTGTTCGGTCCTAACTACACAATGAATGAAAATGACTGACCCACGGAGGCAGAGGTCCTGACTGGGACAGTGTGACCACGAGGTTTCCACTATGATAAAATTGCCCTTCCTGAAGCCCTAACTGGGCCTATCTTCCAGGGTGAGTGTTCCAAAGAGAAATGTTACCACCAACTCCCATAACTTCAGGAGTCGTGCACAGGAATACACAAAACTTTCCTTCTGTGGTGACGGCCCCAGCCTCTGATCCACCACAGCTCGGAAACCAGAGGGAAGAAGGGAAGAAAGGTCGACTTACCAAGCCAACTTCTGTTTAAGTACACAGACACAAACACTGGGGGGACCGTGAAGAAATCTACCACAGAGTTCACTTCCAGCCAGAACCACAGCTTATCGTTGGCTGCAATAAACTGGGGAGAGAGAAATGGAGAAAAATATGAGAGGCACGACACTGGCATTCTAAGTATATGCTTTAGCCAAAGTCTATGTTTTGGGTTTTCACCGGGGCCTAGAGGGAGATATTCTGTCCTTCTCATAGCTATACCAATCACAGGCTATTTCTGTCTGAGAATTCAGTTATATGGTGTTTTCTAGAGAGTGACTGTAGACTCTGTTAACCTTGGAGAAATATTAGGCAATCAGTTTTCCTGTGGCTTTCAACAGCATTATAGGAAAGTCTGAATGGTCTCACCTTCACTAGACTCTAATGGAAACAGAACCCTAAGTAAAGCATGTATGTACTCATCCATGTACACACACATGTGCACACACGTGTACACAAAATCTCCATAATACACACTCTGTACAGCTCCCCTCATAGACAGGCTCTACTACAAATCCTGCAGGTCCCTGAATGCTACCCATCTCCTGCCTCGATTCAAGCCTCACAGCTGTCCCCTCAGGATTCAGCTAAGTGAGCCCCGATAAACATAATTTTAAGAGAAGTTTCTTTTTTCTTCCATTTAAGACAACAATACGTTTGTATTTAGAGAGATGAGAGACATTCAGCCAGGAGAGACATATTAGCTACGTCAATCCCTGTTTCTCCTCCTTGGAATAAGATTTTAACATGTACCTCTGAAAATGTGAAGTTAAGGAAAAAGCTCTCTCAGACACTGAAAATCAGAACATGGGTCTGTTGTCCCCCCTGGAAACACCGGGCTTCATCTCTGCAAGAGCGGAGGCCGGCGGGGCACGGCCCCTGAGTACAAGCCACCCCATGGTGACAGAGTTGTGGGGATCAGACTTACCCGCAGGCCAAAGTAGAGAAGGAAGAACACGTTGAAAGCCATGTCGATCTGTAATGTGAAATCTTTGTAGAAATTCTGGCAGGATTCTATTGGGCTATTAGACGGGAAGAAGAAAAAAGCAAGAGGTAAATGAAAAATATCGTCACGTCTTACACATACTGTGTAGTACTGGAGCTCGGGGTAGAGGACAAAATGTATCTTCATGGACTAAAACATTTGGTCTTTCTACCCTCTGTGATAATCAAGCAAGCATGGCCAAGGGGTCTTTCCATTCAACCATTCAGTCTTTTATTCTTTTATTTGTTTTTATAATTATATATTTATATATATATGTAAATTATGTTTATTATCATTCAACAGTTGAGCTAAAAATCTTAAAAGGATCATGCAGACACCTTGGAGGAAGGACAAGCAGGAGAGACCATCAAATTCCTTAATTTCACATTAACCCTTAAAGAACTGACTTCTTTCTTTCAGAGGACACATACCAAATCTCCAAACAGTCCCTCACACCCTCTAGCACATTGGAAGTAGAACCCATTTTCAATTAAACACAGTGGCTGTGTTTGAGACCTCTTGAAAGCCATCGGCTGATGAATAATAAAGGACCCAGGAGCATCTCAGGAAAGCTGTGGAGGAGAGGATCCTGGTTGACATTCTGGCTAAACTAAGTATGGACTTGATGTATAGCGCTCTGATCTGGAGAAAGAAGCATTGCCCAACTGCTAAGTTCAAGACCATTACACCAAAATATTGAAGCAGTACTCTAAGGGTTAATTTTTTTCTTTTTTTCTTTTTTTGGCATGCAAGTTAATTGGCTTTGTGTGTGTCAAGCAGCCAACGCGAACCCCCAGCACACCCTGCTTTGTTCAAGAGTAGACAGTTCAAAAAGGTACTACTATACAAACTGGTACATGGCTTCCGTGTGCTTTCCCGCGTCAAACTGATCAGAGGATCAGTGTGTGAAAAGCCCCAAGTTTGGGGCTGGGTGGGAAGCAGGAAAGCCTCATAAGCATCTCAAAGCTGTGGATGAAAATTCATAGTAGACTGTTATCAGTAAGCAAATGGTACCACTCCGGGTCAGAAACATAAAGAAGGTGAGGTGAGGGAAAAGGGGAGGGAGTACGGGGAGAAGAAAAATACTTTCCCTGGAAGGAAAGCAACGTGGACCTTTGGGCCAGGAGGGCGCTAGCCTGAGAAGTGCAGGATGGAGGATTTCCGAGTACCACCACTTTGGAAATCGCTATACGCAATACCAGTTAGTATAGTTGTACTTCTGCGAGGACAATGCTTAGTTGTTCAACAGGCAGGAATCTGTGCAGTATGGGAATGCAGGGCCCACAAAGAGGTGTGGTGGGTCGGTCTATGGGGCTCTCCAATCATATTACATGCACTGGATTTATCCATTCTTCATCTCTAGAACAAGTCAAACATGCCCTTTGTCATCTCCTACATCACAAATAGGTGGGAAAACCCCCAGACAAGCATGGGGTGAGGGGCATCTACATTTGCATTTACCAACTAAGCAGACTGAAGAAAAAGCAAATGCTGAAAAACATTTCTTTTATAAAGGAAATGACAGCTCCTAGGTTTTCCCTAAGGTGGGGAAGTGGGAGGGAAGACAGCATGGAATTTGCTTCATCCTATGCTGGAAGAAGTCAGGAATCCAAAAGCTAAACCACTGCTCTTTGCCTCCTCCCCTACTTGGGTATTGCTTTAAAGGAAAAAAGGAAAATCCAGACCTACAGTTAGTAAGAGACACTTCTGCAATCCCCAAGCCAGGATAGTGCTTTGTTTCATGTCAAAAACAAGACCCACAAGGTCCACAGGTGTCAGAATTCTTAGCTACTCTAGTCACAGTGACAAGAAGTACATGAACTAGGTTGACCAGAAATCCACTACAGATTCCAAGGGATGAAGAGACAATGCATCTCTGTGCTACATAAGCCGCTGGTATGGTGGGTTACTGAAGAATGGATGGTGTGTGTGTGTGTGTGTGTGTGTGTGTGTGTAAGAGAGTGATCTAGAGAGTGAGGACAGGAAGCTCTGTTGGTAAATGCTGCACTCGTGTTTTTACTTGTACCAGCAGTGACTTCGATGTGCATTTAAATTCATATTCATCAAGATGGACAGTCATAGTCAAAGGGACAGAGAGAAAGTCTTGATTCCCAAGTCTATTTTTGGAAAACCCACTTTCACTTCACCAAGGTCAAACAATAGCCTTACTATTGCCCACACAATAGTTATTGGTGATATATTTGGGGGTCCTGTGAATTTCCTAGCTTCCAAGAATTCCATGGCCTTTGTGGTTAATTTGGTAGCCAACTTAAAATGCATCTTATAGGTAAAACATTTGCTAGGCTGTGGAGGGGAATGGGATAGTGGGGGAAAAGATGTTGCTGAATACCATTGAGGATATGTTCAGCATAAACAGAAGCATATGTTCAAAAGAGCATAAGGAATCAGGCAGTAGCAACTTCTTTCCATTGATCCTTTTCTTCCCTGTCATTTCCACTGTTCCTTCTTATACTGCCCATACTCAAAGGCAGCAAGAGAGGGCTTTCTGCTAAAGGACACTGTGTTGAAAAAAAATATACCACAACAGCACCTCTGATTTACAGAAAACAGTGCTGCAAACATATTACACCTTTTCCTTAGTACTTCTTTCAAAAAGTTTGAACTGATTTAATCACTGTTTCATAGTATTCCTTGAGTCCTAGACTTTGGGCTGAAAAATGAAAGCTGCTGGTACGAGCAGCTTGTCCTCTGGCTGAAGCTTGCCAATGACACCAGTACACTCTGCTAAGATGGAAGAGACAAAGAGCAGAAAACTCTGGGATAAAAGAGGCCCAGCCTCTGCGACCCAGGTAGGACCCGAGTGATGGGGGAGATCTATTTTCTATCCCTTTTAGCTCTTTCCCACTTGCCACGAGAGTCCAAGGAGAAATGTCCTGCTTAGTTTTCTCAAGTGGCAGTAGAACTGTTTATCAGGACCCCCTCTGAGATAAAGCCTCTGAGTGCCTGCCGTTCACAAACTCACACAATCAGAGACAACAGAGCAGAGATTCTAAAGCCCCATCATTTCATTCCCTGAATGGAAACAACCCACAGAGAAGTTCACCGATCTTATAAAAAGAAAATATATAATTCAACAATAAAAGGGCTGGTCATATCAGCCAGAATTTATTTTCCTCCCAAAGAGGTTATTATCTTAATGATTAATGCCCATTGTATGATAGAAAATGAAATACAAACTCCTCTTCCTTCTTGTGTACACTAGAGTTCCTTGTCTGGATACACAGAAGTTTCAAGAGATAGAAAAGAAATCCCCCCCCCCTTTTTTTTTAACACAAAAAATGGTGACTCCAAAGTACACACTTAAATTTGGATCACCATTGCTACGAGGCAGGCCCACATCAGAATAGGCTGTGTGTGGATATATGTTGCCAATAGGAAAAAAAAAAAAAAAAGTGGAGTTTTAAAAACTGAAATAGGGATACTGGTTCTGATCCTTGTAGTAGTAAATGGACTTTCCCTAAATTGTTCCTGGTTAAACTAATGACTTCCCAATGAGAAGACACAAGTTAGTTGGTAAGCTGATGGACTCCTCATTCTTCGACTCCCACAGTCCATGGGTCAAAGGTGATACTAAAACCTTAGGCAAGGTTAGTGTTTTCACCAGGACTCTATGACTGGGACACCTTCAAAAGAACCTCGATCAAGAGCTGCGTATGGTTTAAATGTTGAGTGTAGGAGAGTCATCTTATTTCCTCTTGGCCATCCAGTAAACATATCTGTATCATTTAGTTGTCTATAGAGGAAAAGGAGACTCATCCAGAATGGCAAATGTATCTCCTTCTTCATCTATTTAACAATATAATATCCAGTGAAGACCCTTGAGTGGGAAGAGCCAACAGTCCTTCTTGAAACTGACTTAAGACCTTGTCTCTCCAAAGCCCAGGGCAAGCAATGGCTAGCCAGGTTTTCTTTCAAGGGGCAGGCACTAAGGAGGAAAAAAAATCTCACTTCCGGGAGTTGGTATCCTCTGGATACCTGCATCATCTCCAAAAGGGTATTGAGTGCCCTCTCTTCTCAGCCTCTAAACTCCCCTGGTGTTACCTGAAAGTCTGTTTTCCTGACTCCCTGGGTCTGGCTGCTCAACCTAGTGAAGATATTTCTCTAGGACAGTGGTTCTCAAACTTTAGCATGTACCTGGAAGGCTTATGAAAACACCGACAGGTCCCTTCCAGAGTTTCTGATTTAGTAGGGCTGGGGAGGAGCCCTGGGAATTTATATTTCTAACAGTTTCCCAGATACTGCTGCTTGTCTGGGGACCAAACTTTGAGAACCACTGTTTCAGAAGAACTTTCTTGCAACTACACACTAATTACAGGTGTTGCTACTCGAGAAGATTCCCATTCAGACCTGAACAGAGATGATTAAACATTTGAGCCCACCCCCAGATAACCAGCTGCATACCACTTAACTAATTGCCGAGATCAAGAGGTTAAACAGGTATTTTCACTTTCAGGTGGGAACAAGGGGGGGGGGGATTAAGATGATACGGAGAAGTAATTACCACACCACTATGCGAGCCTCACCAACGAGATTCTAATTAACAGAGTGCCTGAGGAGCACATTTTTCAGTTTAACATTAAAAGGAAAAATGAAGTATAGATGGGGAGAAGTTACGGAGACCATCATTTATAAGAGATCACAAAATGTTAAGCAGTTTAGGGACATCAACAGCAGCACATATCTGAGATGATTTAATAAATAACCACAGGAGAGGGAAGGGACTTAACTGAGGAACAAGATAGCACTTTGTGAAATAATTTCCAACATTTGAATTCTCCTTGCTCTTGTGGCTAGTCCCTTTTTAAATTGGACGGAGCCTTCTCAATTCCCACCAGGATTACAGACCACCAGAGTGCAGGTCCACAGCACTACAGACATGAATCAATACAGTAAGTTTAATGATTCCAGACTCTTCTCCTAGTCTCACCTCTGCAATGTTGTCAGATTAATTTAATTAAAAGAGGTCATTCATCTACCATCATGGCTCCCTCCTGCCTCAGACATCAGCTCTAACCCTGGCTGTGATGAACCTCTGAAACCCAACCTCACTACATGTCCTATTTTATTTTCTACCATCTGCTCCTCGCCAAGTCCTTTGCTACTATGAGCTGGTACCTTCCTTATCTCATGAATGTGACCCACACATTCCTAATTCTAAATTCTATGCTTTTGCTGTGGCCTCTTCAAATGCTCCCCCCTCTTTGTGTTCAAACCTCAGGCAACCTTCAAAGCCAACTGAAAGGCAGAGAGAGCTCAGTAAATTACTCATGCCCTCACTGACCTCCCCCCATCTCTGAATCCCTATTAGCATTAGGAGCGAGGAATTCTGAACTTATAATGTTGATTCTCCTCTAATCCAATATAATACCACTTGGTAATTGTATAGAGCTTGCACGTACTATTGCATTTGGTCCTTACAACCTGGCAAAATAAAGCAGACCGTTTGTTGTAATCCCCGTTTTGCAGACTTCTGAGAAGCAGAGTCTCAGAAACCCACACAAAATCATGTAGCTAAGTGGAATGGTTCAGGCCGAGACCGAACAGACTTTCTGCCGCACCAGAAAGGAGACTTCTTCTCCAGAAGAACTGCAACATCCTTGGAGAGGTAAAAGAAACATAAGATACAGCATCTACTATGTATAGACACTGGCATGGAGCTTTTTCAAAAACAACGAGGGTGGACTGATTTATAGAGGAGGTGAAACTGCCCCAGGAAAATTTAATGTGTTTGCCGAGTGGTCTGGGAAATTTCAGAGGGAGCTGACCTGTCCAACTTGTGTCTAACCCTGCTTTGTAAAGACGGTCATACGGGACATTACTAACCCCCGGGAGTGCTTCCGGGGCCCCTGAGGAACTAGTGGCATCGTGGAGCATGACCCCATCTGCTGAAGTAAATTCCTCTCCTAGTTATCCATCTGCTTAAAGGTGGATGACCCTCAAAATGCCCTAATTTTCTCTTTATCCTCTCTTATTCTAAAAGAGCAAGAATGGATATAGTAATGGACAATGTTTGGATGCTTTGAACACTTCTAATTATGGAATAGACTGTAAAGTTTTGCATCCCATTCTAATCAACTGAAGTAAAGAAAAATGATAACATCGTATAGTCGTGGAGACTATGGAACTTATCTGCAACTGAGAGGGAAAAAAATCTAAACGATTGGATGTTTTTCTAATAACATCTGGATATACTGGATAAGCCAAGTGCCTACAAAATAGAAATAAAAGCCCCTAGCTGATCAGAATACTAGGAGAGCAAAATATTTTTAAAGGGAGGCAATTCTTTGCAATATACTCCAAGTTATTGATATTATTATTACTCACATAATTTTAGATCTCAGAAAAATACCTTCTAATTTAATAGCAATAATGGATTTAGTGCAAATGACAAGATAGTAATTAACCACTGAGAAAGTAATAATCTTTATGTAGAACGTTTGTCTTCTAACCTAGACAGCACTCCAGGTCTCGAATGGATCCAAGCTGAAAGCTTTCTATGCTTTAGCTTTCATTAGTGCCCCCATTTTAACTACCTTGTCAGAGTTATGTATTTAAGAGCTTATCTTTCCAACATTAGTGCTTTTAGTGTTTACACTGAGTGGAGCATATTCAATAACTTGTGTAGGCTCTATCTCTTTTACCAAACAGAAGCCAGCTTCTCCTGCAGACCATTATTTTGACTTTATCCCATATTATCTGAGTAGATATCTTCTACGATGTTATTATTGTTGATGGGGGAGTTTGTGTTCAGTCACTAAACAATACGAATGACAATGACCTCAAAAGGAGCCTTTTCTAAATCTTAAAACACTTGTTTTAGACCTTGCAATGGTTCTAATGTGAACAGAAAACACTTTTTGTTACTTGATCCCAAGCCAGTTTGTTAAATGGCTTTGTTGGGAAATCTTCAAGTTATGGGTTTGTATCAATAGGTCTATTAATCTTTCTGACAACATCAGGCTTCCAATTATGCCTCCACTCAGTTGATGAGATATGAGCCAATATCCACAAATATATGCCTCATTAGGGTCATGGTGAAATGAATTGGAACAAATGAAAAGGTGGTATATAAACCCTTACTGCTCTGGGATCCCATGTGCTCTGCCTTCTTGAGCTCGGACTGTTATGGAGAATCCTGGAACAATGATAGTGGTAGACTTCAGAGCAGTTGTATGGCTCAGGGTACCTACCTGAATAATTGCCCTAATAATTAAACATTCGTCAAGGAGACAAAATTACATAGATCGCCGATGAAGAGAACAAAATACGTCAGCTCCTTATACACTGGATTTCTCAGTGAAACACTGATAATCTGTTTTCATGAAACTCAGATGGTGAAATCGCTGTCACTTTCTGACAGAGTTCCTCTAAATTTTCTCACAAGGTTTCAAGATGCTATCTGAGCCTAGGGTCTTTTTCTCATCTTCACTCCTTATCATTTTATCCATTTAGGCACCCAAAAAATTAAGTCAAAACCAAAATGTGGGCACCACGGGACACTACTAATCCCCAGAAGTGCTTCCAGGGCCCCTGAAGGGTAGTGGCATCGTGGAGCCTGACCCCATCTGCTGAGGATAAGTTCCTCTGCTTGTGGAGAACATAACTCTTAGTTACTTGTCTGTTTAAAGATGGATGACCCTCAAGACACCCCAGTTTTCTCTGATGGAGTTGAGAAGTTGACCTCGAGAACAGATAAGTTAGGTCGTTTTGTAATTCGATGGAAGAGTTAAAATTCCAGCTCTGTTGTTATTAGCTGTATAACTGTAGGCAAATAATCTGAATTCCACACCTTGATTTTCTCATCTGCAAACTGGAGATAAGAATACAAACCTCAAAGCCTGTTTCAAGAATGAAATCAGATAATGAGGAAAGACTAAGTGCTGAATAGGTGATTGTTATTTTTAAAACTAAGGTAATAACAATAGTGATAAATAAGGACTGTTTGTAGAAAAATGCCAAAAAAGGCAATCATCCAAATGAACAAAAACTGATAGAATCAATTATTTTGCACTTAATTTTCCATTTGTACCTGCTTTATTGCTTCCTTATCGGGTGCTGTAATATAATTCAAATGCCCAATAGGTTGTGCAGGGAGCTAACATCTGGTGTCATTCTATATATTAGAGCATTACATTTGGGTAATATTAAAGAAGGAACACCAGGGAAATTATATTTCCATGAAGGCAGCCACATAGTCTCATAAATATTAAATAATTAACCAAGATTTCCTGACAGAGAAAGCCATGAGTCACTTTAATGAGTGGCCACAAGAGGTTGTGTATTTTTTTTTCCCCCAGGTCTTTAGCAGAAGAGAGAGTTTCATTTGCCTAGTTGGCTTACCGTGAATCTGGAGGAGAGACAGGGGAAGCAACCAGTAGTCTGTCTCCTAAAGATCTCTTCCAATTCTACGTCCATAAGATCATGTATTTCTTCACTGTTGGACTTTTGGAATGATGTCCAAGACAACCTACCCACTAATGCTTGTTTTCTCCAATTTGTCTACAGACCACAATTATTTCAATCACAGTTGTTATCAGACTGGAATTAGTGTTCATATTTGCCAGCAACTTTTATGTAATAAATCAGAGTTAAGCTACTACATGAAACAGAGTCTTGCCAAATGAGTGCTGCTTTGGTTCTCACTGAACTGTCTGAGAACCCATGACCGACTGCTGCTTACTCTTATTTCTCTACCTCCATCGACTCAAGCCATCTCTTCCTCAATAAACTCTTGTTTATTTAGTAGAGGGATGGGATGAAGTAGATAATTCAAAAACACACACACATACACACACAAGTACTACAAACAGACTGAGAATTCTTCAGGGGCAGGGTCAGTGAGATGTGTGGGTGGGGACACATGCACACACACGGGCTCATACCCACAGCCTTCCAGCACAAGTGTATGACCTCTATCCAACCCCAGCCTCACTCTGGGGCCATCCACAAAATAGGATTGCTTGGGTGAAGTGATTAGAAATGGGGAGAAGAAAGAAGAAGTTCCAGGTCTGAATGAAGAAGAGGGAACCCAGACACATTGCCTGGCAGGAGTGGGGGGAGGTTGGGAGGGGAGTCTGCAGTTGCCCTAACACCTGGAGCCAAACTACTCTCATATCTACAAAAATGTAGACCTGAAAAAGGAAGACAAGAGGATCCATCCTAACACTACTGGATATTAAATGTTGCCACACATGTGCCGAGAGGCCCATAGACAATCATCTCTTGCCAGTAATAACCACTAGTCAGCTCCTAAGCACTGGGGGTAGGGGTGGGGGGATTGGTCTGGTGTCACCATTTCTTAAGGAGAGAACAACCAGGAGGAAGCAGCCTAGGGGCACAGTTTCAAGGCACTTCAGACTCAAGTCTTCCTAAATAAACTATGAAGGTCTCATAATGGCATAGTGAATGGTAGAGGCCCCTACAGTTGAGCAGATGGGTTGGGATTCCCACATTATAATAGTCTTTCAAATCACCAAGGGACCTCTTTGAGCTGTTCTGGGGCACAGACTTCAAAATCCTCCTGTCTGAACCTTCTTCTCCTGATGTCTGTCTTGGATTCTTCAGGGTATTTGCTGGTCATCCTACCAGTCTCCTACTTAGCTGATGCCCTATACTCCCACCCCTGTCCACCTCCCTGGCTTTAATGTAACCCTGACCCACCTGAACAGCCTAACCTTGGCAATGCCTCCTTATTATAAGTCTACCTGCAAGGATTTAGAGTGGGAAAGCCAAAACTACACAGCCAAGCCCAGCCTGCTCTGGGTCCCAGACTGACAGCCTCATCAGATGGGGCTAAGAGGCTGCAGGGAGATCCTTCTCCTGTTCCTTTCATGGAACTCCAATTTCCTGCGAGCAGCCGAAGAGACCTAGATCTGCTATAGTTTCAATCTTGCTATCTTCCAGCCACATCTGGATCCAAGTAGAACGGGCACACATCTCCTCGGTGGTCTCCTCTGAAGAGCTTCAATGACAAAGAACGCCAGTGTTGGAGGCCTGCCCGGTACCGATTTGGGGAGGCTCGAGAGCATTAGGGAAACAATAATTATGTAAGGAAATAGTGGTTCCATTTATCTGCTCTGCTTCGCTTTGAAGAATAGAAAACACCATCCCATAACATATATACTCACCACCAGGACACTGGCATTTGGTAAAAGCTACGCATGAATGAATATGTGATGCTAAAGGATAATTATGATAGTTTTGTTTCTGACATCCTGAGGTTGGTTTTTTTTTTTTTTTTCCTTTTTGGTTGAGTTTTTTGTTTTTTGTTTTTTTTTAAGAAGACACCGAGAAAGATCTGGTACACGTTCTTCTGACATCTGGCATAGAAAACAATTATACCTTTATATTACACAAGAAAATAGCCGTGTCTTCGCTCTGTCTTTGGCTGACAGCTGAGGCGTGGACGTTTTGTAAGTATTCCTATTTAGGAGTTTTGTTGGGAGCCCAGCAGCCTCACAGCCAAAAAGGAGAGTCTGAGATGTTGCTGATTAGAAGTCAAGAGTCTGCTGAGTCCAAAGCAGGCGTCATGCCTTAGGAATGCCATAAAGTGACCTGGGCAGTGGGTACTAACACTACTGCAGAAAATCAGAGGTGACAAGTTACCTTTAGAGACAAGTTGTCATCATTAACACAGATAATGGCAATGGCTTGTTAAGCCCTATGATTATATATGATTATATCTTCAAGTACACACTCCTCTGATTTCCTCTTTACCTCATGGAAATAACTTCTTATCTCCAAGAACATTTCTTTTCCTTCATGTTTTCTTTCCCATTTACTTCTGGTTAGCACTGGAAACCACTGATCAAAAGTGTCCTGATCGTATCTCAGAAATAATAGCTCCATCATATTAATGGGGTCTACCTGACTTCTGGATCCACATTCAGAAAGTAATATCAAGAGCTGTTGTGTGTGCCCATCGGGGTAAAGTTTCTTTTTCCTTGCTGCCTTCTGTGTTCTCCTTTTTAACGCTATTGCCATATCTCTGGTTTTCTCTAGAGTCATTTTCCCCTCATTGTAAAAATAAAAGTTCTGTGAGAGATCCAGGATGCCCCCAGGAAGCTGAAGTCTTATGATTCTCTCCTTTGTCTCCATAAATGGATCCATTTAACCCTCCTCTATGTTGGGTTTCAGAAGCCTTTCATTTTATCTGGAAGCACTGTGTTTTTCTGAGAAAAAGGAGTGATCCCTTTACTGAAGAACCCCAAAGAGGAGAATCAGTTTCCTTCACCAAACCCCCAGATGAAGGAAAGCTCTGGCAAAGTAAGAGCATGTTCTCGTGCTGGTCAGGATCACCTGCTCCGCATAGGTCTACACTGTAATTCCATCTAAGCTCCTTTCAAAAAGGGAAATGCTTCCATTCAAAGGGCCTTTGTTCCAGTTACCAAAAGAACATGTTATGAAATTCTAAGCAAAGTCTATTTCTGTAGGGCAAATAGGATATGTTTAACAGAATAAGGGAAAAAACATTGTGGAAAGAACCTCAATCTACTGAGCCCCTGGATAGGAGGAAATCAGGATTCATGAGGAAAAATAAAACACAAGATATGAAGCTTACAATTCTGTGTCACTATGACTTCTTAGTGCAGAGTTTTAATCTAAGAGGCTCTAGCAAGCTGGTTCCACTAAGAATTCTCTAGGAATTCTCATTCCTGCTATAGGATTATCAGAGTTTGGTCATGCCCACCTGTCATCATTCTCAAATGACAGTCGAGGTATGTATAAAATGTAAAGCATTTATTTATGTGAAATAACAAAAATCCAGTTCAAAAAAAAGATCCTAACAATTATTTTGTATAAAAGTTTATTTTGAAAATAAAACAGATGGGGGGAAAAAGAGGAGGAAAAAAAACATGTTAAAAAAAAAAAAAGAAAAGCAGTTTTAAAGGGAATCATTAGTCAACCCTAAGGCAAAAATAGATCTCAATGAGAAAAAATGATCACAATTACTAATGAGTTAACACGGAATGCAGTGGCAACATGTTTCGATGAGTATGGTATTCCTTCATTAGACTACCATTTGACATCTTTTAAAGTTGAATTAGTGACACTCCTGTTTGCACAATAAACTAAGACAAAAGCCAGTGATTGTATTTCTCAGGACATTTAGCCCAAGAATTTTTTTTTTAATTTAAATACACATATTTAGAGACTTATTAATCTCATTAGCTCTACACAAAACCGAACTAGGTAACAGTGTTCAGAATGATGTTATAAGGCACCATAATAACTGGCCATTTAGAGCACATCCATGCAGAGCTGGGAATTTGCAAGACTGATCATCAGGTAAGTGGTTAATTACTTGGAAAACCGACCCTGACTTCTAAATCCCACATGGTTAGCCTTTGCTCAGAATACATCTAAAAACAGGAGGTTTATTTCTCTCTTTCCCATTGCTTCAGTCTTGAGTTTTCAAGGGACAGGGTGGCCTTTGTGGCATCACAACAAATTGGGGGCCCACGAAGGTGTCCAAAGAAAACCCTAAAACCCAGTGCTTTAGTGTACTCGAAAGCTTGCTGCTTCAATCCCACACATGCGCCCAGTGCTCATGACATTCAGGTCCGGGCCTCGGAGGGGAGGGGGGGGCGTTGTGGCGGGGAAGCTAGCAAGCATGCATGGGCAGTGCAGGAAAAGGGTCTGGTTAACCTGGAGGCAACAACCGGAAGGGTGAGGTTGCAGCATGCAGTGAAACCACAGCTTGGCCTTAGCTGCCATGCAGAAAAGACCTACATCAAAGAGTCTGAGGTGCGGCTCCTGGGTAAGAGTCGATATGAGAGAGGTGAGTTACTTCAGCAATGAAAGACATGGGCAGAAAAATGTTCAAACCACTCTAAACAGAACACTGTACAGAGCACTGGCATTACACGCGCGAAGAGGCAGCCTAGGGGACGGTGGTGGGGGGGAGACGGAGGAGGGAAGGTGAGGACAGAACTGGTCGTCACGCGGATGAGATGGTTTCCCTGGCCATCCTTTTCGAATGCATTTCTTGTCATAATGTACGTTGCTTCAACAAATAACCTCATTAGTGTCTTTAACATCAACCATGATTTTTAAGATGTTTTGAAAATTCAGGAGAAGCAAGGCATCAGTTACATAAAGATACACACCATGATTTCCTGTGGTTACAGTTCGTTATACAAGCAGAGCTGAGCTGGTCAGATAAATAAGAGACAGTTAAGTGCCAACATCCTTAACACGTTGGTTACAGAACTCACAGTGACTCCCGGGGTGTAACATGGCAGATGAAGCAACCCAACGCGATCATAAAAGCTTGGGGCAGGGCAGAATAGGTAACCCTAGGCAACCACTGCCCCAGGAAGGCTAGACTTATGACCCTGAATTTAAACCCACTCCCAAGGGGTGCCATCTTTTCTTCATCCCAGCATACATGGCAGGACAGAAGTAAGTTCATCAACATGTACCTTGACCATTCCACAAAACCTTAGTCAAGGTGAGACCCCCCCTCCCCGCCCCCGAAAGTGTTTTTATCAAAATCGACTGATGAGAAAAAAAAAGTTCTTCCTAAAGGAGTAAAAATAGTACTGATTCAGCAGGAGCCCATCTAGTGCCCCTCTGAGGTCAAGGCCACATGGGGTCTCTGAGAACTGCCTTCCTGTGAACTGCCTGCTTCACATCTGCTCTCTTTTCTCCTCCCCCTTTGCCTCTTGTGATCTCTGACACACTGAACACAATGCAAACGATGGTATGCTCTAGCCCTCACTCACAATTTCTTCTTCCTCCTGGTTCTGATCAGAAATAATGGGAGGAAAGGGCGCTTCTCTTAAAATGGGCTCCCGGAGCTCAGCCTTCTCCCCTGCAGTCGTGATCACAGCCCCGAGGGGGGACACAGACTCCGTGTGAAGGAGCAGGATGTGATCTCAGCCTCACATGTTCTCTGAGAGCTGACCGTCCACTAAGACAACGGGTGGAAGACAAGGGTAAGAAAGGAGCACGGGGCTGCTCCCTGTCCTAGCCTCCGCATGCCTCAAGTTACAGCTATTTCTACTTGGTCACCACTCATTTCTTCTGATGAAGAACAGAAAAGCTTAAGTTGAATGACATGTTTTCAAAGCGGTTATAGTTTGGAACAAAACTTTAACAGTCTGTATGTACATTCATTCAATAAATTCCTCTGAGGGGGCGCCTGGGTGGCTCAGTGGATTAAGCCGCTGCCTTCGGCTCAGGTCGTGATCTCCGGGTCCTGCTCAGCGGGGAGCCTGCTTCTCCCCCAACTCTCTGCCTGACTCTCTGCCTACTTATGATCTCTCTCTCTGTCAAATAAATAAATGGGACCTATAAAAAAAAATAAAAAAAAAATAAATTCCTCTGAGGTTCTTTTGCGACAGGCACTATGCTAGTTTGGGGGACATAAAATTCAACCAAACATGGTTCCTGTCCTTCAGTCATTTTCCATTTAGTAGAGGAGTCTACCCAGACTTTAATTTCTGGAAGCATATATGCAACAGTGCCTTGCTTCAAAATCCTACCACAGGACCTTAAGGATGTTACTTCATTTCTCTGGACCTCAGACTCCTCACGTAGGTAGTAGGTAACTCTAGGCAGATTGTTGAGAGAATTAATGAGTTAGTAAATGTTAATTGTTTTGTTAGTGGCTGGCACATGGAAAATGCTGTGTCATTTGAGCTATTACAATCATTAATAGTCAAATACAGATAAGAAACAAAGGGCTCCAGAAAAGGTGGCCACTGCTTAACTTTTGAGTTAGGTTATGAGTGATGAGTACAATCTGTCAGGGACAGAAGGCAGGATACTGAAGCAGAGGGATAAACATGGGCAGAAACCTGGAGGCACCAGAGCACACAGTGCATTCTGGGAATGGAGGGAGGGGGCTCCATATGACCAGAGCCTAAGTAGACTGTAGGGTCGCCAAGAAACAGGGTCGGACAGAGACTGAGGTATCTGTGCCCCTCAGTGGCAGCATGTCTAGTTTTATCCTATTGGAAACAGGGAGTTGACAGAAGCTTGAATGCAGGAGAATAAGGCCATTATCTTGTAGGAAGTTAACTCCGGTAACGTTATGGAGAAGGAGTCAGAAGCAGGAGCAGGTGGAAGCAAAGAGGATAATTAGTCAAATTAAATTCCAAAGGGAAAAAAGTCACCGATGCAGATAATAAGATAAAAACTGTCGTTGTGCCACAAAGTATCCTAAGATCCTGGAAAACACCCCTTCTTCAGGGCTGGATGCTGCCAGGACCCCCTAGGGAAAGGGATTACCCACCGTCTGGCTCCAGCAGCCACCTAAGCACTTGGCTGCTTCTCTCACCCCAGTACTCCCCATTGTAAGAGTCTTTGCGTCACAGAGCATGCGTCTCTTCCTCTTTGGAAAGGACCTCCTCTATTTAGAAGCTGTTCTCTCTGCTTTTTGGAGAGCAGTCTCTAAATTATACTTAGAATCTCTACACGGTGGACAAACTCCAGTACCTTTAATGGAGGGAGGGCACCCGTACGTACTTGCCACTTGACAACAATGACAAATTACATGTGAACGCAGCTAGGTACATCCAAGAGTTACAGCTAACACCTTCTCTGCCTTCACCCTCTCCGCTCACTGTCTAAAGACCTTGGTTAGCAGTTATCAGCAAGCATCATACTGCACTACCTCCTGAATATCCAATCAAACCCTATGTGCATCTGGGCTTCCACAAGTTTTCTTTAGAGACTTGGATTTCCTCAGATCCTTGAGAGCTGCTGAGAACATGAATTTTGAAAGGTGCAGCTTTCTTTTGGTTAGAGTCAAGACAGCAAGAGGGAGAGGGCCCTTTGTGAGAACGTGTCTCCCTTTAAAAGTTATTAAGTGTGGTGATCACTAAGCCCAAGTTTCAAGGACAAATGTGGTGGGAACTCTGTACCCTCAGCTGACGAGGCAGGGACATGAAAGATCTGTTTGTGTATTGCTGTGACCATGTGATCATACTTCTTTGGTGGGTTCTCGTTTGTTCTAAGTGCATTCTAGGTGGAAGCCAGGAGCAGAGGACAAATGCTGACCTGGTGGGGGTGGGGAAGAGACAAGAGCCCTTTGCACTTAGGACTTGAAAAGAAGAAAACATGATGAGCTGAAATCATGGCGGAAGCCCAGACTGGTACTGTCTACAGTGACTGCTGCTGCGTAATTAGCAGACACTCAAGGAAATGGGCAGCTCAGCAGGAAGGCATCTTTGTGGGGCAGCCGCTGCCACAG